ACTGGTTTACCACTCAACATGTGTTAGATACTGCTTTGTAGACTGGTTGTCAGTTCACTATTTGTCATCGTCAGTTTATAGTACTATATGTCAGTATTGGAAACATGTATGTTTGAATTGTTCAGCATTATAATTCTTCTCTGTATAAGTAATTTCAGTTGGCTTTTTAGTCAAGCTATTAGTTACCTTAATAGTCTTTGTGGGGTCAAGCATCTCAGTGATATCAGTGCTAAACGTAAGGTAAACGTACATGTATAACAATTTTGTTGTATGCTTTTGCCAACACTGTGTGTTTGGATAAGCTCAGACAGTGTTTCTCTTTGTCGTGTTAGCAGTCTTTTTACTATCATAAATGACGGGCAAACGTTTGGGGTTATTTTGGAATAAAGTGATGACAGTTCTCAGTACTTGGTTCTGACTTATGGAACCCTCAAACGGGGCACAACGAGTAAAAGATCCGGCAGCAAGCCTGCAACGCCGTTGATGTCCTGATTTAGTGGTGATCCTGCTGACTGTAGACCCAGCCTGAGAGGAAGAAGCCACATGAACCCACAGTGACCAGCTCGCATTTTACACCACCGTCGATTCCGGCGACCAGCGTCGCCATCTCCGGTGCTAGACCGCCGTTCGCATCTCCGGTGCTAGACAACGATCAGTGACTGATCTCGGGCATTGCAGCGCCCCTTCAAAAACATTCAGGCTTGTTGTGATGCGACAAAAACTCTGTATACTTGCAGTATATCGTCATATGTTTGCAATATTGTCAAGTCTGATGATGGATCTGATTGTATATGATTGATTTGTGTTTGTTTTTGAACATGTGCATGTATAGTTTCTGAATTATGTGTCCAATTCTCAAATTTGAGAAACAGAGTTCAGGAAATTATGTGACAGACTGATGTAGTAATGATCAGGTAGGGGTGTGTTTTCATTAGACTCATATAATTTGTTGGATGTGCTGTCAAGTAACAAGTGGGGTTGTAACTGCGTATGAAATATGTGCTGCGGATTTTTACACACCTTTTTGTAATGTGATTATGGTTCACAACTCTTTGTACGTGCAGTATTGTATTTTTGGAGTGACAATGTCAGTACACGGGGGAAGCCACAAGGGAGACGAGTTGTTACCGCCAGGTAGCGCGAGTGCGTACCCTCTCTGACAAAGGGCAGGAAATTTTTATATGCAAAGTTAAGGGTTTCGTGAGAAAATTTTGTAACATTGAAACCCTATTTGAGGCATGTTTTGCATCTATCTCTCAGTGTGAGAGTGAAGGAAGCCTGCGCAACAATCATGCAGTGACCTGAAACAAAATATAGCAACATATAGTGTGTGTATCTGAACAGTTTCTGGAATATTTACAAATACTTCCACTGATCTAGACCTTTAAGGAAACAGCTGCACATCGCGAGGAAGTGAGACAGTTTGTTACAAGTTGGAGTCTGCTAGGAGAGCAGATATCTAATAGAAGTTCTCAGTTACTTGGAAGCCATGTCCCATCATTCGACAACTCCACATGCATCACTACTTCCTCAAAAGGTCTTCAGGTATCATTTGTACTTGCCATAAAAAAGGCAGCGTTGTGCCTCCGTGTTGAAACTGGCAGTATGCACAAAAGGAAGCTGGCAATGCAGTAACAAACAAATTGTTGCTGACAGAGCTGCACAACAGAGAAAGAAGAGTCAGCGCTCGAACTATTTCTCCTTTCCAGGAAAAGGAAGTCGCCGCAAATGAAGCGGAAGTGCAAGCCCTAGAATCGTCTGTCGAGGGTCAGTCTCGTGGTGCAAGCGTAGTGAACCTTCCCGCAGCAGATCCTAAAACTCGTACAGCAGCGTACATCCACGGAACTCCTGATAACACAGACGTTCATCTCAACCCACTCGCTAGGGAGTTCACAGAACAGGATCGAGGGGATGATCACAAGATACGCCTACACGTGTTTCCGGAGAAGTCCCGAGGTGACGTTTACTCCTCTCCCGAGGTACGTACAGAAGCGAGACACTATCTGCCAGAAACAGATAATTACAACAGACAGGATTATTCTCGGAGACAGGACCCTGTACAAGTAAACTCGCTCACACACAGAGCGAATTGTGATCCACTACCAAATACTCGACAACTCACGCAATACTTGATGCGGAAGGACCTGACGATCTCCCGGCTCTATGTTTTCGACGGAACGCCCGAGTCGTACCGAACCTGGAAAGCAACGGTCAAAAGCGTTATGGAAGAACTGGATGTGAATAACTCCGAGGAGTTAGATCTACTACTCAAATGGAGTGGACCCAGCTGCAAGCAGCAGATTTTGAGTATCAAGTCAGCATCAGCAGGTAACCCTAGCCTAGGGTTACTTCGTGCTTGGGAACGCCTCGAGGAGCGATTTGGAAGTGCAGAAATGGTCGAGTCATCGATAAAACTGCGGGTCAAAAGCTTCCCAAAAATCTTGCCTAACAATGTCAAGGTTCTTTATGACTTTGCAGATTTAGTGAGTGAAATCGAAGCCCTCATGCTAGAGCCGAAGCTAGAGACACTCTTGGCTTACTACAACTCCTCGTCTGGTGTAACTCCGCTGGTGTGTAAGCTGCCTTATTTTCTGCAGGACAAGTGGACTAGTTCTGCTATTGGGTTCACGAAGAAACACCATGTTGTATACCCACCATTCACTCATTTTGCCGCATTTATCCGGGAGCAAAGCAATCTGAGGAACAATCCTAGTTTCTGGTACTCACGTGTGGACGAAACCCTGTCGAACAGGAACCCACAGAAAGTGCAGAACACTGCGAACCCGCAGAGAGTGCAGAACAATGTGACCGTTAGAAAGTTGGACACTCAGGTGACAACCGTGTGTCCCATACATAACACGCAGCACCCTCTCTCCGAGTGTATGGTGTTTCGATTTAAATCCATGTCGGAAAGGAAGAGGATTCTCCTAGAGAACAATTTGTGTTTCCGCTGTTGCAAAACTGATAAACACACCAGGAGAATGTGCAAGGAACAAGTGAAATGTAACATTTGTTCTAGTGATTTTCACCCTTCTGCTATGCATCCCAACCGTTCTCCATCACAGCACGGCGGGGAGGGTGAGGGGTCTAACAGGCCGGCAGTGTCAAACAAGTGTACCAAAGTGTGTAATGGAAGGTTCGAGGGCAGGTCGTGCTCCAAGACCGTTCTCGCTAGGGTTTATCCAACGGGCAAGCCGCACCTAGGACAACTTATGTATGTTATCCTCGATGACCAAAGCAATCGTACATTAGGGAGACCCGAATTTTTCGACCTCATGCACGTTCCAAATGGTACCACTCAACCGTACACCCTGGTGTCATGTGCAGGAGGCATTAACACACAAGGGAGGTGTGCCAGAGGTTTAACGATCTCGTCTGTTGATGAAAGGTTTTCAGTCGAGGTGCCCAGTATTTTGGAATGTGATCAGGTGCCGAATGAGAGGGCTGAAATTCCAACCCCGGAAGTAATCAGTCACCACAGACACTTGAATTGTGTACCCATACCAGCCTTGGATCCCAGGTGTGAGATTCTTTTGTTAATTGGACGTGATGTTCCTGAAGTGCATCATGTTCACGACCAGGTAATAGGGCCTGTAGGTTCACCCTTTGCTCAGAGACTGAATTTGGGCTGGGTCGTCGTTGGAAACGTTTGCTTGGGTAGAACTCATAAGCCAGATGTGGTAGGTGTTAGAAAGACCAATGTGCTGGGCGATGGTCGGCCCACTGTGTTTGAACCATGCGTCAGCACTTTCATGGTCAAGGATCGACCAGCTGTCATGGGCCTAGGTTCAGATGTGTTTTGGAAAACACAGTTCGATGACAAACCTGCTTTGTCACAGGAAGATAGAGCATTTCTGGCCATTATGGATGGACACTTCCACAAGGGGTCAGATGGCAGATGGACTTCCCCGCTACCATTCAGGAATCCACGACCTCACCTACCAAACAACAGATGTCAGGCTCTGCGGAGAGCACGTGCCTTAGATATTAATCTGAGAAAGAATCCCATTAAGAGGGAACATTTGGTGACCTTCATGGAAGGAATTATAGACAGCAGACATGCGGAAGTCGCGCCTGTTCTACACTCAGAGGAAGAGTGTTGGTATCTACCCTTTTTCGGAATCTACCACCCCAAGAAGCCGGATAAGATCCGGGGGGTATTTGACTCGTCAGCGACACACGAGGGTACCTCATTGAATAAGGTCCTTCTGAAAGGTCCGGACCTCACCAACAGTCTGTTGGGTGTGTTGTTACGATTTAGAAGGGAGAGTGTAGCTGTGATGGTGGACGTGGAACAAATGTTCTACTGCTTTTCTGTGAGCGAATCCGATAGAAATTTTCTCCGCTTCTTCTGGTACGAGAACAATGACCCCAACAAAGCACTCATCGAGTACCGTATGAACAAACATGTGTTCGGTAATAGTCCGTCCCCAGCTGTGGCGAGTTACGGCCTCAGACGTACAGTCGCAGAATGTGAGAGTGAGTTTGGCAGCGACGTGAAACAGTTCGTGGAAAAGGATTTCTACGTGGATGATGGACTAACATCAGTCGCGACACCTGCAGAGGCAGTTAGTCTCCTTCAGAGAACACAGAAAGCCCTGGCAACCGCTGGGATCAGACTTCACAAGATCAGTTCAAATTCACGGGAAGTGCTGGATGCCTTTCCCCCTGGTGACATTGCTCGAGACCTGAAAAACCTTGAGCTAGGGAGTGATGATGTTCCCATGCAACGTAGTTTAGGGATGTGTTGGGATCTGCAGACAGATTCCTTCATGTTCGAGGTCTCGCGGCATTTCAAGCCATACACACGTCGAGGAGTGTTATCGACCATCAACCGTTTGTTTGATCCACTCGGACTCTTATCACCTGTGACCATTCGAGGAAAGCTGATGCTTCGAGACATGATTGAAGAAACCAAAGACTGGGATGAACCCCTATCGGAAAGATTCAAGAATTCATGGACTGAATGGGAACAATCATTACAGAACCTTGCCTCCTTGAGAATGGTGCGGAGATATCCGGAGAGGAAACCAGAAACAGAACTACACGTGTATTCAGATGCGTCAGAGCAAGCCATAGCTGCGGTTGCATTTTTGAGAACTGTGGACCAGGATGGGAATGGAAAAGTAGGTTTTGTGTTTGGAAAAGCAAAGGTGGCCCCCAGGCATGGGCACACGATTCCTCGGTTGGAGCTGTGTGCTGCTGTCTTAGCAGTTCAGGTTGCAGAGACAGTAGTGGAGGAGTTATCACTACCTCAGAGATGTGTGACATTTCACTGTGACAGTAAGGTAGTACTGGGCTATATTGCGAATCAAACACGCCGTTTCTACATTTACGTGGCCAATAGGGTGAGCAGAATTTTAAAGTTCTCTACACCCGACCAGTGGTTGTATGTATGTTCCGAAATGAACCCAGCGGACATCGGAACACGGGGAATCGCTCCATCACTCTTGGCCCAGAGTGTTTGGATTCAAGGGCCGTCAGAGATACAGCCAAGAGACTCTGATCAGAAAGTTCATTCATTGGTGAATCCAGACGGTGACGATGAGCTTCGGAGAGAAGTGCACGTGGAGAAGTTGAGTGCCAGAAGCACGAATGGCCTTGGAACGGAACGCTTCTCCAGATTCTCTGTCTGGTGGAAGTTGGTGACAGCGATGTCACTTCTGCGGTACATTGCTGGAAGAAACAGGAAGGAAAACTCGTCTGGCACAGAACGGCCTGAAAGTCAGAAACACAAAACTCCAGGAAGTTTCAAGGAAACAGAGGGGTTTATCATAAGGGAGGTACAACGCGAGTACTTCTCACGAGAAATCGACCATTTGAAAGAGAAGAAACCGCTACTCAGAGCAAGTAGCATTTGGTCACTTTCGCCCTTTCTGGATGAGAAGGGTATCCTCCGGGTAGGGGGCAGACTGCGAAGAGGAGAGTTGGACGCTTCTGAAAAACAACCAATTCTGATTCCCGGACGGCATCATATTGCGACACTCCTCACACGCCATTATCACGAGCGGGTCCAGCACCAGGGTCGACACTTCACAGAAGGCGCTATCCGATCCGCGGGCTACTGGATTACTGGGGGCAAACGCTTGGTGTCTTCAGTTATCTATCGCTGTGTGAAGTGTCGTAGATTGCGGGGAACTCTCTGCCATCAGAAAATGGCAGACTTGCCTGTGGACAGGATCACTCCGACGCCACCCTTCACCTGTGTTGGCGTTGATGTATTTGGTCCGTGGGACATAGTTACACGACGCACTCGAGGAGGAGCTGCCGCCAGTAAGCGCTGGGCTGTGATGTTTACGTGCTTGGTCATGCGTGCCATACATGTGGAAGTGATAGAATCGATGAGCTCCTCATCATTCATCAACGCCATGAGAAGGTTCACCGCCTTGCGAGGGCCGGTTCAGGAATACCGTTCGGATCGGGGCACAAACTTCGTTGGAGCGACATCGGAATTGGGGATCAATGTCGCGGAAGGCAATGTAAAGGATTTCTTGGACAAATCAGGATCCTTTTGGGTGTTCAACCCGCCTCATGCTTCGCATTTTGGTGGTGCTTGGGAGCGCATGATAGGTGTAACCAGACGAATCCTAGACTCTATGCTCCTTGGACCTCATAAGGATCTTACACATGAGGTTCTTTCTACCTTTCTAGCTGAGGCTTCGGCCATAGTAAACGCACGACCATTGGTTCCAGTGTCAACGGATACAGAGTATCCTCACCTACTCAGCCCCTCTGTCATGTTGACCCAGAAGACTGGTAGTCAAGCAGAAACTTTCCAGCACTTGGATGAGAAGGACATGTTCCAATCCCAGTGGAAGCACGTCCAAGTTCTGGCTGAGAGATTTTGGAATCAGTGGAGACAAGAGTATTTGGCCTCCTTACAGTCTAGAAGGAAATGGCAAACAGAGACTCCAAATGTCAGTGTTGGAGATGTGGTCCTTCTGAAGGACAATGATGCTGCGCGAAACGATTGGCCTACAGGTGTCATTGTGTGTGCGTCAGCCAGTGATGACGGACTTGTCCGAAAAGTTCGTGTCAGAGTTAGTCGCGG